GGAACGAATCCCTCTTTTACGATATCCGAATCCCTGAAGCCTCTGCAAACAGCTGGTCCTTTCGCCCAAGTGTGTTGTTCATCGTGTCGACCATATTCCGTGGAGGCAATGCCTAATTGAGGTATTCGTTCCTCTACCCTTGAAAATGAGCTATAAATTTGCGGGGATTGCCTTTTCATGACACAATGGAAAAAAAACTACGTATCTTACTGAAGAGGTCAAATTTCTGACGAATTCCAACATCGCATTTCAGAGTCATTGTAAGGTAGTTACAGTAAGAGTTACGGTAGTTTAAGTGTTGTGAGGTTTTGAAATTAGACCGTTGATTCTTAACTCCTTTTCTCGTAAGATAAGCTTAGCGCAACGTATATCATTTACGTGTCGTCAGAGTCTAGGGGAACATGGTCTAGGGGGGGGGGGAGGACATATGACATATGTCCTCCCCCCCCCCTAGACCATGTTCCATCCAAATTTGTGAAATACTCTCTCTCTTTCTCATTCAAAAGCCTTAGCATAACTCTCAAATGCAACGTTGTTGGCAGAAACGGTTGCCTTCGCTGCTCACATGACAGTCATTATAAGCAAAAATGAACACATTACATTTAAAAAGACAAAAGTTATAAGAAAAGTAGCAAAACTTATGTGGCAAGCTACACACCAATGATTGCTCTTTTGACGAACTTCTTGCCATGTAGGCCGACTCGCGCGAACATTGTTGTTACACATACCCATAAACCGCTTTAGGCGCTGGGCAGACTTCACGCAATTTGATCGTCGCGACTGAATCGCGACGAGACAACTGTTACAACATCATTCCATGCTGATCAACTTGCATTCGGTTGTGATACTTTTCCAGCCCAAAATTTTCGAATGTGAAATGAAAATGAATGGAAATCTTGGCGATTAGATCGCGACGATTAAGTCGCGTGAAGTCTGACCGGGGCCTTAAGCGAGCGGCTCTGCTAGCTTTTGCCTGAGCAGAAATTAGAAGCAAAATTTTTCGTTAGGCACGCCCCCACTCAACTTGACCCCAACCACTTCGTTAATGGTCAAATTAGTGAACGAACCAACAGAGAAGCGGATGCCCACTTGACCTATTTGGTCCGCCATCATTATCGTTAAATTCACAGGCTAAAAGCACCGTCCGCCCTAAGTTAAGGGTGTTGAGCTTTTGGCAGCATAAGATAGCAAGGCCCCCTATCAATTTAATGCCCAAGTCGCGGCGCAAAATGCCGCTTCGGAAGCGAGAATCGCTTCGAATAGCGAAGATGCACGAGGACTTCCATCCATGCCCGCCCTCCCCCATCCATGCCCGCCCATTTGTGCGCGCCCGTCCAATCACCGTTCCGGAAAGCCGGCCTGTGGGTTCTCCGAAACAGGGATTGTCGAGGATTTTATCTTCTCGACTCCATATTCGGAATCAGGGACATGAGAAGGCCCTGAAACGACAAAAACATGGAAGTCGAGAATCTGAGTGGACGGTGCCTTTAACTCAATAGTGAATGAATTGGGTTGAAGGCACCGTCCACCCTAGATCAGGGGGCCTAAGCTTTTATCAATTTTCGATAGCAGTACCCCAACCAAGTCCATGTCCAAGTCGCCGGGCAAAATATCGCTTCGGAAGCGAAAACTGGCTTCGGGGCAGCAAAGAGGCACAAGGACCCCAAGTCGGCAACAACTCTCTCTCTCCAGCATTGCCCACCCATCCGTGCTCAGACATCCAATCATCGTTTAGTAGAACGGGCCTGCGGGTTCTCCGGGACGGTGTCGTCGGGGTTTTTGCAGATTCTCGATTTCAGTTCGGAATCAGAAACCCCAAAACCACCAAACATAAATGTCGAGAATCTAAGTGGATACACTTGAGTGTGGCGTTTGTCTTAAACACTTAACGTAAGGCAAGTTGATACTGCCAGTGGCTATCTCCCGGATTTCTTGCCAGGTTTTTCACAATTCCCCCCTCCCCGCAATTTGACATTCTTCTCCATGAAACAACCATCTGTCAGTTCCTTAACGAGAACATCCCTAATGTTTGCTTACAAAGAGAATATTAGATAAAGATAAAAGAGGAAGCAAGACAAAAACAAAGGAGACATACGTGTAAATTACAAGTACAAGCAAAGATGGTGTTTTCCGGATCTATGCATTATCCACCTCTCCTCATAGAATTTTAATATCTTATCGTACAGAAGATGACGCACCCGAACACTGCTAGAGTGAAGGCAGTGTCCGGGCAAGAAGTCGAATTTTAGTTTTGCTTATGGGCCACAGGCTATTCGCTACAGTCGAGTGAATTTTCCGCTTAATATAGTGTGCTTGCAAAGAAGATGAAATGCGGTGAAATTTGCGCAACGAAACGTCGACTAAGAAAATGTAATCTAAATTGTTTTCTCAGCCACAAAACGATCCCCCTTTGCTTTTTGTCCCAAGAATGATATCCAGTCTATTTTTACAAGCCAGCTGTGCCGAGCTTTGGGCCAGTAGTGAACGAGTCGGATCGAATGCAGCGGATAAGTCTGACGCCTGCCTCTTAGCGTTGGTATCATAGCCACATCCGAAGGACAGCTTATGTTGTACGTCATTCCACTGGCGCGGGCTTTAAATAATGAACAACATTGTGCTTCAATCTTTCTTATATGATATAATGATGATATGAGGATGATGATGATGATGATTCTAGCCCCTTTTACTCATCATGTAAAGCCTCGGACAGAGTTCACGCGATTTGATCGTCGCGATTTGATCGCCGCGATTTTCATTCATTTTCATTTTACATCCAAAAAATTTTGCACTGGAAAAGTATCACAACCGAAATGCAAGCTGATCGGCATGCAATGGACTCGTAACAGTTGTCTTGTAGCGATTGAATCGCGACGATCAAATCGCGTGAACTCTGTCCGAGGCCTAATGGAGTAGGAGCAGTATGTTTGTCTCCTGTGTGCTATTAGCAGTGCCTACCTACACCTTCAGGATTTGATCTCACAAGGATAGCATGTATGGTCGAAGTGGCCTTTTCAGATGCTACCCATACTGCTTTGAAGAGCATTGCACGGTAATTCTGAATCTGCCTTCCAAATCTGCCAAGCGCTTCTAAACGCCGAGTTGTGACCGTTTTTTGGAACGAAAAATGAATGCAGAATTTATGTAAAATCGATTATTACAATCTTTCCAGCGCTTAGATAAAGCAATGTTGAGTATTAGCATATTAGAAAAATGTATTCATTGCATAAACGGCTCTGATACTTGGCATTGGACCATTTGAGCAAATTTGGGCGATTCTGCTTCAGTTTTCCGTTCATTTTTGACCTGAAAAACGCCCATAACTCGGCGTCTAGAGGCGCTTGGCAGGATTGGAAGGCAGACTTGGAATCACCGCTTAAGGCTCTTCAGAGCAGTATGGGTCTTATCTGGAAAAGCCACTCCGACTAAACACGCTTCCCTTGTCAGCCATCCTTATAATTTCCTTGAAAATCCTGATGTTTCTCAAAGGGTTCACAAAGCATTTTTGAACGATGACCCTTTTTATGGTGGTAAGGCTTCCGGGGCTGGAAGTATGTCACGCTGGAACCTTCATGCAACACGACGTAACCATGGCCTGTTTGCTACCTTTTATTACACTATGACGCCGATTTTGCTTTCTCCATATGAGGCACCTTACGTAAAGGCTATTGTGCAGGGCCACAGCTACACCAGCAACGTCGTCAACACCATCGCCAGCCAACACTGTCAACGCTGGCAACACCATCAACACTGGCAACACTATCAACACTGGCAACACTATCAACACTGGCAACACTATCGACACTGGCAACACTATCGACACTGGCAACACCCAACCTATCAACACTGGCAACACCGTCAACACTTGCAAAACCGTGAACACCACCAACACTGACAAACCAGCAACAATTAACAGCACGTTTATCGCCGATGATTCATTCATAAAGCTCGCAATCACCCACTCATCAGAAGTGAATCTGTTGCCAACGGGCTCAACTTATGAGCATTCAGAATCTGTTTGCCTGGTTCAGATTCCCTAATTCTTTTATATTGAGAAATCGAAGTATACCGAGCCGAGCTCTCTCCGGAAAGCCTTCACACAGCTGCTGCCCCACGAAAGGCATGAAAACTGGGGGCTGTGCATGTATAGGCTACATAACTCGATCAATATCAGTATGGACCTCCGACTTACTAATGGTCTTACTAATGGCTCATTTTACACTGGGGAAAGAGAGAGTTATGAATGACAAGAATGAAATGCATATGCACATTGCACTGTTTAGAGGTAGGTGGCAGCTAGTCCATGTCGGAGTCGTCGCCAACATAATAAATGCGATCAAATCCAAGGAAGCGAAGCGTGTTACAGCACCGGCTTCACTATGAGTTTACCTTGCCATTTTGGATCACGTGATTTAAAGCCAGTCACCTTCAAATGATTTACCTCAAGGCAGGAATGAGCGTCTAAGCTTATTGAACGTATCAAATGCTTTTCAATCACGTGTTCAGTTAGGTGTAACTTCAGGACCACTTCTCTGCAGTGTTTGCACAAAAGTTCGCGATTATTCGTCTTTGGTATCAAGGCACAGTGGGTCGTTTCAAAATTCGTTCTCATGCGAATGGACTGAAAACTATATGTGAGAAGACGATAACTCAAAGCGTCCTCGAACTAATGATTCTACAGAATATAAAAAACTGGCAAGGGCGATGCACATAAACTGTCTCAATGAGGGCGTCGCAGCTTCAGCGGCCCGGGCCTCATAGCCATCCTTATCGGTTCTTGCGCCACGCTTGCGCAGGCATCCTCAAAGCATTCTCGCGCTCAGCAGCTTAAAGCTGTGGAAACGCCTGAAGAATACATGAACGCAGCGCAAGGCCGAGCGGGGCGATCGCTAGGATCCGAGCTGCCGGATTTGTGACATTTTCTCCAAGAAAACCTATTGTTATATTGTGCCAAGTCACAACTTTGCCAATTTCCAATTTCTCCCATACAAGATACACAACACATCAATCTCTTTTTTGTATATTCAAGCAAAGTAAAAATCAACAGGAAGAAAGAAGCAAAAGGAAGCAGCTGACCTGAAAAATGACAAGATTGGAAGAAACATGATTCCAAAACCAGTCGTACCTCTCTCAACACATTTCTGCTCGGCAACTTTGACGTGCACAGCGAGGTAATGCTTCATCGCTTCAATCTCGTCCATCTGCGCACTGGCACAGTCCAGACAGAACCATTTTTGGACAAAGTATTATTTTGTCTGACCTCGAAACTACGATAGGACAGAAACATACCATTCCATTCTTATGCAGCCCGTCCAATGACATGATCTGGGCTGACGGCATAGGAGCTTCGCACACCTGAAAAATGTTATGACAGAAAATGAGAAACAAGACAAGTTTTAGTCATGTCAATACAAAAGCCATAAAGGTTGGATACAAAAACATCTGAAACGCCCAAAAGAGCTAATGCTCTCAACCGAGCAAAAAATTAGCACTATCGGATTTCATGCCAAAACATACCTTGCACTTTGCAGTAGGATCATGGAATCGCGATCTTTGGACAGGCAATAGCGCTCGCTTTGCTGCCAATGGACCTGTTTCTTCGTCTCTCAGCGCGAACATTGTCAAATCACCTTCAAAATAGGCAAAGCTCGTTCAGTGGAGCTACGGTAGCAACTCGTGCACTGCTGACTATCGGTCGTGGAGCCAGTCGCGGTGGGTCGGTACTTCTCAAACCATTTCCGAAATAGGATGCTGCCGGATCTATCCTTGGAGCTATTGCACCTCCTTGCAGCTAAAGGTAGACAAATTAGCATAAAAGAACAGTCAACGCATTCTGCAAATGACTTACAGCTTGCATAGTTTCACTGTATGTCAGTTCAAATATCGCAGTGAAGGGGAAGTCCAATCCGTTATCGAGAGTCATAGCAAGCTCCTGGAATTCACTCCCTTGATGGAGCTTTATGGCACGAGCCCGCAAAACCTGCATCCGTTATACCCTACAAGCCCTATAACGGCAACAACCTCGCGCAGTGCAACCAACGATAAGCGCGCGAGCTAGTATATTAGCCGAAAATAGCCAATGGGCCTTTCTTTGCTTTTCATGTGTGCTTCTCATTCATTTATCAATGTGCTTCTCATTCATTCATCAATGAGTAACGGCTACGACTATTACTCATAGTCTTCTATAGCTAGAAGACCACCTCAAGTGTGATGGTGTGATTGCACTAGGCGAGGCTGTGGCCGTTAGACCGATTGCATACTTTTGACTTCAAAGAAATAGTTGTCTAGTATGCGAAGCTGCGACATATACACCCGCTGAACTGCCAAACAAAAAATGCCGTCATGAGATTCTGTTTGTGGTTCAGAAACACCACAGGAAAATTTGCAATGGAAATTTGTGCAAAAAAGGTAACCAGGAAAAAACCACCTTTGATACACCTCCGTTTCTATATGCTTCCGCAGCGGTGAACGATGCAGCCGTCATCTGAAACACATAACATTCGTTTGGGACAGCTTTTAGCATGCTCACAAGTTGTCAGGAGTACTTCCAAAACAAATACTTACCGTGCAGAAACATTCCCCACAAGTTACTGAGTCCATAGGCGCTAGGAATGAACGATGCGAACACTCGGATGGTACCACTATTTCTACCTGAAAAAAGACACATGAGAGAAGCAAGTATTGAAAGGACCATAAATCGTACTGACCGAACCACGAGAGATCATCATTTCATGACTCACAGGACTTTTTGGCTAGTAATGTAGGACATTAGCTGGACACACTCCGATAGTCATCAGTCATAGATTACTCCTGATTATTTGAACAACCACCCAATATTTTTCTGCTGGCCAAATTGACGACATCTCTGGGACTTCAAAGCAACGTGTACATGTATCGACTTCTCCTGAGTACCACCAAGATGGCAAGCCTTGCAGAAGAAGAATAGAGGAACACCATGTGCCTCTCGAAGATGGAACATAAGTCGTGCATCCTGAACGACTATCACTGGAGAAAATCACTAACCAGTGATTATAATCACTTACCGATCGGAACAACATGCTGCGTTGACTGCATCCGTAGAAAAGTCTATCCTTGGTTGCGTGGGCGTTGCGATGATGTTCAAATAGTGGCGTATGTAAGCTATGGCGGAGCATTCACCGCATGAAACTGAACCCGCTGGACCATGACAAAGCTGAAAATGCTTCATTTGTCCCTTGTAAGCATTTCTGTAAAGGAACTTACTCGACGATTTTTAAATTGCTGCTGACTCTCAAAGGCAGCGCAACAATTTCTGCATACGGAAAAGAAACCTTTCAGTGTATGCCAAAGACCTAAAATGCAGCCATGATTTTCCCTGACTCAAGAAATGATGAACCAACCTTTTCACATATACCACCCGCATCAGTGCTATGCGACTCTCCTCATGTAGTTTGGCTGCATGAGCAGTGATAAACATAGAGCTGCATCGCGAGCATTTGTACTTCTTTTCGTAACCACAGCTGACGACGTAACACCACGAGCACTAGAAACCACGATTATAGGACTGTATAGGCTGCTGCATGACGAAGGCGCAATATCTTCGGGCGCGAACGAGGCTTTATTAGCCGCGGAGCGCATGAGGCACAGGATTTACAACGGTAAAGATATGCGAGCGCCGCATTCTCCGCTCAACCAATACCGCTTCTGCGCCTTCGTCATGCAATAGCCTTTAGATGAATCCGTTTTCGCCGACAGAGCATTGAAAAGCTCACTGTTCAACTTCGCCGATAACTTGTAATTCATCGTCATTGTTGTCGTCATGGACTTCTTTGACAACCACCGACCCGTACTCAGCTTTCACGCTCTAGAATGAGATAAACATTGAATTTTTTTTTACTTGGATACATCCACAAGGGACACAAAACACAAAAGAGAAGCCGAAGATCTAGCTCACGAATCAATATGTAACCATCAGCTCACTTCAGGAAGGTATTCCACTGCACTCTCGTCATTGTCCTCAACGTATCCAAGCATCGATGAGCCCACATTTCCAACATTAACCGCGACTTCCACTAGAACTTGTGCCACAAGAGATGCTCGATGGGCATTAGTTGTGGCCTCTGCACTGTCGGCCAAATCATCATCCACACCAGGGCTGTCTGCAAGCAAAGATTCTTCTAACAAAGAGAGGATACTTAGTCGAAATCGCCAGTTCAGATGAGACATATATTATCTAAAAGCGCTTGAAACGCTGATTCCAAATCTGCAGTTTTTAGCTGCGGAGCGGTTTTGTAGAGGGAGTTATGAGAGGTGTTTTCTCTGGGGTTGAGGCGCCCTCCACCAGATCTCCCCCTACCTATGAGCACTGTAGAGGAGTACCAACTGGTGACAACTGGCCTAATCGTAAGTGACGTGCTTGATAAAAAGAGTGTCAAGTTTTTAATCCCCTTCGCATGCTAAATTGAACTTCTAAATGGCTTTAGAGCCCCTAAAGCATGAAACTTCTGATGATATTGATACTAATCGAAGTTAGAAGTGTTAGAAAAGCCAAAGTAATATGAATATTATAATCTTTACTGTAATCTTCATTCAAGTTACTCGCCATTAGGTCATTGCCATCAGCTGCTACTCCTCTACAATGCTTACAGATTAGGGGAGACCGCTGGAGGGCGTCTAAACCCCAGAGGGGAACACCTTTCATAACTCCTTCTACAAAACCGCTCCGCAGCTAGAAACCGCAGATTTGGAATCAGCGTTTCAAGCGCTTTAAGATGATATATGTCTCATCTGGATTGGTGCTTTCGACTAAGTATCCTCTCCTTGTAAGTCATATTCCAAATGTGTGGAAATGGTAATAGTCAAAAACTCACCCAATTCTATGATATCGTCGTCGTTGTTAGCTATAAGCACATCAGATGGCGATTATGAGTCCTTCTGATTATAGAGTTCACCAAGAGATTCGCATTCTTGGCGAACAATAGAAAGACAGTCACGGTTATGTCAGTGGTGACTGTAATTTGGCACAGCAATAGAAAGACATTATTCGCAACAAGACAAAGGCAGAACCCATATCGCTTCTCCTCAATCAAAGCATCCAGTTCTTTGGCAGATCCTTCGGTTTCTTCGCTTTCTATTGTTGCTGTTGCTGTTGCTGCAGCTGCTGCTAAAAATATGAGATATCTTATGAAAACTTCACTTGATCTAACTTGAGAAGGGAAAAAAAGGTCATGCTGGCCATGCACGAATTACCGAGCAAAAAAACAACAGAAACCTATTCTTACTTGTCTTCAAGTTTCATGAAGGATGATAAGACCCACTACACTTCTTGCCCAGTGCTACATGCTACAATAGGCATTACCCAAGCATATGCGCCTCTCAGTCTCAAAAAGCATGAAACATTCCCAAAAAAGCGAAAAATACTGACTGGGCCAAATTATGGGTACAACCCAAACTAAAATCGTGAAACTAAAACCGATGTTTATTAGCACTAACCACTTTTATTAGCACTAGCCACTTCTCAGAATCATCGCCTTTCACATGCTTTCTGCTTGAGCAAGTTTCGGGTCCAGAATAATCAGCTGTCTTCCAGTTGCACTATTGACCATTATGGCATGTGAAAGGCGATGATTCTGAGAAACACACACATTATCTGAATTCAGGAAGGGAGTGTTACTATGCTCACCTGCAGAGCAACTTTGGAGGAAAATCTAAACTTGCACAATTTACATGTCATATTTGCCTCATCTATGTGCATACCAAGATGCAGTAAGAACGCAGTCCGAGACGAAAAAGTCTGAAGAATTCTACTTCAGAATGCTTAACGAAAAGCAGAATACCTACTCACCACTGAGAACCCGCAGCTATATTCTTGCTGCTTAAAGTGCGAACGACACTGATGACTCCAAAAATCTTTTACATGACAGAATGTCATTCCGCAATCAGAGCATTGGAACCTGTGTAATATGAACACTATCTTCAAAGAAATTACCAAATTTTCAACTCAATACCTTCTCAAAATGTCCAGATGTTTATTTATTTGTCCAATGTACAGTCATCTCAGCCGAATTCTTCATGACCTGATTTCCATAACACAGTGCACATTTTCGAATTTGTGTACACATGTATAGCAGATGTGCACAACTTTCATCAGCTATGGGTGGTTTCAGACTGCCGCACTGACCGCAGCAGACTGCAGCAGATGCAGCAGCGTGCAGCTGACCGCAGCTGACTGCAGCTGACCGCAGCTGACTGCAGCAGACTGCAACTGACTGCAACTAACCGCACTGACCGCGAGGCCGCACAGATCGCTGCAAAATTCCGTGAACGTGGAGAGGATAAATAGTTGTAGTTCAAACAGTTTCTCAACAATATATGCCTCAATAGACAACATGAGCGGGAGTAAAATACATATATGCAATGACAAAAGGAATCAGAAAATATATGCGCATATAACAATCGCCAAAAGTTTATTGGGAACAAAGAGTAAGTTAGAACCTTTGAACTTTCTAGGCGTAAATCACGGTGTTTTGATGTATTCGCAACTGTTTTCTCTATTACGAAAGGATGCACCGATTGTGCGGCCGCTGCGGTCAGTGCGGTCAGCTGCAGACTGCTGCAGTCTGCTGCGGTCAGTGCAGTCAGTGCAGCAGTATGAAACGAACCTATGATTCGCTGGCAATATCGGTAACACTAAAACACAGATTTACAAGCAAAGTTAGCCTATGACGAAAATTCGGTGAAGGTTTAGAGTCCTCTCTAGAGCAAAATTTTGCAGACTTCGTCCAGTGAAAGAACTACTCACCAAATTGCCGTCTTTCATCCATACGTCGTTGCGTAAGATGCACTCTCATTGCCTCATGGTGTGCGATAGGAGTGTAGTCTAAAAGAGATAAATAAATAGATAAAGAGAGGTGAAATATAATGTCTACAAAAGTGTGTTGTGTTTTGGTTTCTACCATATGGTTTGGGCTAGAGGTCTACAAGTCTGTAATTTGCTTCAAAAGCTGCTCTGCACCGATCATCCTACTGAGACTGTTATGAGCTAGTCAAAATCTCTCGAAATTATAGACTGTCTCAATAACAGCGTCACAGCTTCAGAGCTCAGACCCTCATCAAGTGCTCTGGATATACCTGCAGGTGATAATGTTTAGCCAAAAGACATTCTTCAGAAAAATGAAGGCACTTACCTGCCCAGACGTTCCATATAAGACCGCAGGACGCTCCCGGAACAAATGGAGCTATGTTAGCAAGCGACATTCTCTTATAACAAACCCCACAATCAACAGAGATTTGTTTCACAGACACATCTATGAAATGAATAAGATGTCAAGAACGAACTAATCTCCTCATCTTCACTCAATAGCATCATCAAGCATGCATACCTTCAAACTGCATCGAACATCGTCCCAGTTTTCCATGTCGGGTCAATGCCTCGCGATGCGCAAATCCATTTCCACAGGCTCGGCAGACCAAGACATGATTGAATTGCACATGATCTCACATCATTGTTTGAATGCAAGTTTGTTGGGCACAGAATTTGCAACGCAGCATATTCTAAAACAGCCCCATATCTATAATGCATGTAATTCAAACTCTGATTAAAAGACACGAGCGCAATTTGCGTACGTCTGATTAGCGAGACTACGAGTGGGTTTAACCCGTTCTGGTGAATTACTATTAAGAAAGATTCGTAAAAGAACATGTTCAAACTCATTGAACAACGCTTGAACATGTTCCTTCATAACTCCTAATAGTAATTTACCAAAAACGTGTTACAACACACTCATAAACTTCTTTGTCAGACGTACGCAAAGCGTACTCGTGTCTCTTAGTCAGGATTATGTGACATGTGGCTTGCTGTAGGAAACAACCTTGGGCAAATAAATCTGATAAGAAAGTGACATAAACGGAAGAGCGCCCAAACCAAACGACTGAAGACTTTCTTTACCTCGAGCACTCACACTGACAAGTAGGAAAGGTTTTATGAAGCAGAAGTGAAAGCCGGAGGATCATCTCTCTTCATCACTTCTGGTGGTGATGGACTATCGTTCAAAGTGAAAGCAGAACGTCGCGCCATGATGGGGCGAAGCCCACCTCCCGGAGTGCTTCGGTTTGGAGTCCCATTCTCCTTCGGATCCATCCCAATCACCCTGATTCCTCTGGAATGAAAGTGCATATTGGCAGCCTAACGAAAAGAAACTTAAGATATACCTCTTAGCAAGATTCAACTGCATTTCGAAGTGCGATCTTGGCTGTAGTATGCCATATCGCAGCCATAGCGCATTGTCAGCGTCGCGAGCTATGGCAGTCCTAGTGTCTGGATATCTAGCCGCTATATCTTGGAGACTGGCATCTGTGAGCGAATCACATGAAGCAGATAAGTTGATAAACAGCCGGCTTCCTGGTTCCATCCAAAAGGCGGATCAAAATTAGCTCGGCAGTGAGTAAGATAAGCCGATAGTTACAAATAAAAATTGGCCGACTCACTGCTTTCCGGCGTCATTCTAAGCTGAGTGCCAGTTTATTCAACGTAGATACCATGTTGTATTGCCATATGTGCACGAAACCCAGATATAGAGCACACAGACTTAGAACATGTAGAACACTTCAATTTCGAAATTACTGGCGCTGGTGGACCCGAAAGATCAGCAAAATTATCGGATCCTAACGCCATCTAAAACAATTTAGATAAAAATGGAAAAAAACTCCTTCAGACTGTGGTCAGTCACAAATACAGGAAATCATCAAAGCATCCAAACGATGTGAGGAGAGAGAGAGAGAGAAAGAAAGAGAAAGAGAGAAAAAACAGAAAGAGAAAGAGTTTTTCCTAGTAGTTGGAGGAAAGCGAGCGGTGGCCGCCGTGAAAAACAGGGCGCGCGCGACAGGACCACCGCTCGCTTTCCCGCTCTGTGCCGCGTTTTTGAATTCGGCTTGTGATTTTATATATTATGATCTCGAAAGTCTCATACAAGAATTTTGAAAATTAGCGAAAGTTGGACAAGGTAAAAACGAGTGATTGCAATTTCCAGCAAATATCTCGTCAGTCTCGCAACGAAACATATGAGAGTTTTAGAAGCAAAAAAGAGGAGGAAATTCTGCATCGGATACATTTTAAAGTGTTAGTTTATCTTCATTCTAGCCGGCGTTGAAAAGCTCCAAAGCTAGAGGCAATTGAATGAAATCAGTCAAGATCGACATTTTTCAAGCTGGGGCACGAAAAATTCTGGAAGTATTTTTATTTGATAGAGAATATTCTGCTCATTACATCGGTACCTTTCCCATGATTTAAAACGAAAAAGATCGAGAGTTAGTAGCAAATAAAGAAAATTCCTTTAATTTTGCAATTTTTGAACGTGCTCAAAAAAGCCTAAAACGTCACCGAGAGGGCGGAAAAGCCACGATTATGGGTCACGTAACGTTTTCTTTCTGAATGAGCGAAAGCTGTGTCAAACGAGAGCAATTTCTTTTTCGTGATTTTTTCGGATTTCCAGGAATGCTTTTTTCACGAAAATCAAAAATGTTTTCGATTAGCTCGAAACTTCCTCAGCTAGAAAGAGAAGGTCACAAAACCCATGTCCATGACATTCCCGTATTTTCTGTGACATTTCCAGGCTTTTTTAAGCATGCTCAAAAATTGCAAAACTAAAGAAATTCCCTTTATTTGCTCCTAACTCTCGATCTTTTTCGTTTCTAATTATGGGAAAGGTACCATTATAATGTGCAAAATATTTTCTACCAAATAAAAATAACTTTCAGAATTTTTGGTGACCCAGCTTGAAAAATGTCGATCTTGACTAATTTCATTAAATTGCCGCTAGCTTTAGAACTTTCTAACGACGCTTCACAATAAAGGCAAAGTTGTAAAGAGAAAGGCTTCGTCTTTCAGATGAAACTAAAATCAAAAAAATCCATGGAGTGGCAAGAAAGTTATGATTTTTTGAAAATTCGGCGCAAGAACTTTTGGGACAACCTATATATTAGGTTGGCTAGAAAGTTCTTGCGTAATTCAAACAAAATTCAATAACTTTTTAATGACTAAACCTAAATTCACAATCTTGTCCTATAAAAATATTAGAAGGCCTGCGCTCCAAGCTGGATGTTTGAGCGCAAAATTTCATGAGCTAGTCCCCGAGAACGAAGCTCTCAAATGGGACTTCAAAATTTGCAATTTTGAGTTTGGTGCCAGAAAATCGCAGAGTCTCGCTAGCTAGCCGAAAAAAAATCTATAAAAATTACTTACACTGCAGAAGCCCATAAGTTACTTTGAAAGGCTTTGATCTTGCACGGTGAAGCAAAACAAAAAATTCGTGAAATAGTCATTTTGCGGAAAAAATCCACTCATTACCGCAGTTTTTCGGCAAAAACTATTTTTTACACTCCAAAAAACGTCGCAAAGTTCTAAATAGGCAATATGTCTTATTTCTGGTTGCAAACTGTGTTTTTGTGGAAAAATTACATCGATAAGGGGATTTACCCTGTAAAATGACAAATTCCACAAATTTTTTGTTTTCGCATTCCCATGCGAGATTGAAGCCTGCTAAAATAATGTACGGACTTCTGCAGTGTAAGTAGTTTTTACAGATTTTTTTCGGCTAGTTAGCGACACTCTGCGATTTTCTGGCACCAAACTCAAAATTGCAAATTTTGAAGTCTCGTGTTTGAGAGCTTCGTTCTTGGGAGCTAGCTCGTAAAATCTTGCGCTTAAACATTCATCATGGAGCGCAGGCCTTCTAATATTTTTAGAGGACAAGGTTGTGAATTTAGGTTTAGTCATTGAAAAGTTATTGAATTTTGTTTGAATTATGCAAGAACTTTCTAGCCAACCTAATATTAGGTTGATTCATAATTAATGCACGTTTTGAATTTCAACCGCAATAAGTCATACACTTTTCATTCTTATATAGGCTTCAAAGCACCATTGTATAGAGCAAAGCAAGCTCTACAAGATGGCACTCATGCCTTTGCGCCATGCTCAATCCACGGAGAGTTCGAACTCAAAATCTAAAGATTTCCAAATGCCCAAAAAATCGAAAAAAATCAGATCTTCGTCCAAATAATTTCTACGGACCTCCCACTCGCTCACATCATTACTATCGATATCTGATATCCGTATGTGCGATTGCCGTATTTTTTCCTTGACTAGAAATTGAGAAAACGAAATTTTCCCTGATTTTCTCAAAGCAATGCTGAGCCGTTTTTGCATATGTAGTTCTATACCACAAGCCTAGATAAGCATAACTGTAGGTTTTCAGCCTATTTCGAACGGTACTTTTCGAGAAATGTCGATTTTAGCACTGAAACTGAAACGGAAAAATCCGAATTCGTTATTTTTCGAAAACTACCGCTTGGAATTGGCTGAAAATCTACAGTTATACTTATCTAGGCTTGTAGTATAGAACCACGTATGCAAAAACGGCTCAGCATTGCTTTGAGAAAATCAGGGAAAATTTCGTTTTCTCAATTTCTAGTCAAGGAAAAATACGGCAATCGCACATATGGATATCAGATAGCGATAGTATTGATGTGAGCGAGTGGGAGGTCCGTAGAAATTATTTGGACGAAGATCTGATTTTTTTTGATTTTTTGGGCATTTGGAAATCTTTAGATTTTGAGTTTGAAATCTCCGTGGATTGAGCATGGCGCAGAGGCATGAGTGCCATCTTGTAGAGCTTGCTTTGCTCTATACAATGGTGCTTTGAAGCCTATATAAGAACTAGCTGGCTTGCCCGGCTCCGCCGGGCCTGCCAGCTAGACCCGTGTACGTATGTTCCGAATAGAATTGGGACCGAACTTTGCACACATACACTTCGGGGCACTGAGCTTGTCACAGTCGATCGATAACGAAAAGTGGACTGTGACAAGCTCAGTGCCCCGAAGTATATGTGTGCCAAATTTGGTCCCGATCGGTTCAGAAATAAAAATTTCTATTCCGCACATACGTACAGACATACAGACAGACATACATACATACAGACAGACATTCAGCTTTATATATAAGATGAAAAGTGTATGACTTATTGCGGTTGAAATTCAAAACGTGCATTAATTATGAATCAACCTAATATATATATTAGGTCGTTCCGAAAGTTCTTTCCGTTTTTTCAACCTATCATAAAAACACGAAGAATGAAGATAGGGAAACGCGTTAGACACTATCCGACGCAGCTTTTCTTCCTCTTCTCAACTGTCATATTCATGTACCGCTTGCTCTTGTGATCAGTGAGATAATGTCTGAAATTTTGAACCTATGGTTTTCATGGTGTCCAACTTTGGCAATTTTTCACATCCTTCTTTTTTGACTTTTGGAAAAGCTTCAATAGCACTCAGATAGAGTAAACAGAGTGCAATCTAATGGAATTTTTTGGCAACTTTGACTGGCTTCTTAGTATTTTTTGAGATAATTTTTCCAGAAGTCTTCATTTTTTCGAAATCACAAAAAACAAAAACGCTCCAAACATTAACAAATCTTCGGATTTCGACACTTTCAAAAGTCGTTTATGATTGTCCACTATTTTTACAAAGTAACTCAGTGTTTACCGCTTCGAAATATAAGATTTCGTTTTCGCGTGCACACCCTTAGGCGAGTTCAAAATCGAGAATTATGGAAACTTTATCGCCAAAAACTCCCACAAATTGGGAAGGAACATACTCAATAGAAAGAGGAGAAAAAGCTGCATCGAATGACACCTTAGTTGTGCGCTGTTTTATGTTCTATGATTCTTGGCATCACCAAAAGTGGAATTTGATAGCATCGGAAAAATATTTCTAAACAATTTTCAAGGCTAGCTATGGGCGCCAAAAAATTGCATTAAATCGCACTTTGTTTGCTCTATCTGACTGCTATCAAAGCTTCTCCAAAAGTCAAAAAAGAAGATCGTAAAAAACTGCCAAAGTTGGGTATCGTGAAAAGCATGGTTTTGAAATTTCGAACATTATCTCACTGATCGCAAGAGCAAGCGCCATAGGAGTATGACAGCTGAAAAGAGGAAGAAAAGCTGCGTCGGATGGTTTTTGAAGCGTTTCCCTACCTTCATTCCTCCTGTTTTTATGATAGGTTGAAAGAACGGAAAGAACTTTCGGAACGACCTAATTTATATATATATATATATATATATATATATATATACTAGCGACCCTACGGGTCGCTAGCAAGTGGGTTGGGGCAGATACATTCGAAGCTGCAGCATTCTTGCGACTATGAGTAACAACAAACAGATCTATCAATTTGACGATTTTCTTCACCTAATATGATAAAACAGGAGTTCGAGACTGTTGCCACAACACCGTACTTTTAACGAAACAGGCATTAAGCAATGATTGGATAGCTATAATTCAACCTTTGTTGTTCTTACTGCAAAAGCATCTTAGCAAGACATTCAGGAACTAATTTTACGTATTTCGTGTGTTCTTTGTTCGTAAAATCTGGCATTTGACAAACCTGCGTGGCATGAAAAACTTCAAGTTAATCTCACATTCTGAAGACTGCCGCTAAAATGTTCTCTATAACAGTATCCCGCCTCAGTCATCATTGAGCAGTCATTTAGCCAAAATCTGCTCACTGCTGGGTGTGAAATTGGGATTACTTAATGTGGTACTCCTTAGAGACGAGGCTTTTCGGACATTCATACCAAGTGTCCAGCGAGATCAAAGTGTACAATTTGCAGCTTCGGAAGGTTAAATA